AAGGATAATCACATTTAAGGAATGATGCCCTTAAAAATAACCCACTCTTTTTTCATTGCTGCTGGCAAGGAATGTGTTAGTGATGTTCATTGCTACTGTTCCAATACTGCAGAATAAATGTCCTTAGAGGATTTTTGTCCATTTTTAGGGCAGAAAACTTTGTTGAATGGATTTTCCCACTTATATTCGTATCATGTCTTATTCAGAAATTCTTGCTGGATAATATTTTGGCCTGTTTTTAGGTTTCAATACTTCCTGAACTGTTATGAGGTGTGTTGGAAGAACGCTGTGGTGACAGGGGAGTTGCAAAGAAATTCTCATTCCTTTCATGCCTTTGTTTTTAGAGGTGAAAATATATCCTATTTTAACAGTCTTTTAAAGTCATCTAAAGGATGTGATAAAACATAGCAAAAAATGAAGATTCAGGGACAGGATGACCGACTGTAACTTGGTCTCTTTGCCTCAGAACTGCAGTATAATGGTACTGTGCATTGATGTGCTCGACTTACAACTTGAATAAAGGTCTCTTAAACTTCTCCTTAAAGGTGTGAAAAAGGGGAAAAAAATAACCCCTCATTTTTCCACTTCGTCATTGTCCATTTTTCTTAAGCAAGGGAAGGGTATAGTGCTTGAAGAGCATCCAATTGGACATGAATTATTAATGACTTTTTTTTTTTATTGCAGGTTTAAATGTTTAAAATGACTTTTTTGTCTTAGATCCTGCTTATTTCTACAACTTATTTAATGTCCTCTGAAGCTGGGGTGTTTGGTTTCTTGAATTGCCTTGGATGTCACCTTCTCTTTGGTTGTTCATTAGTATTGCAATAAGATCTATAATTTTGTTGCGGTAGAGACCCTGTGGTAGCTGTAATCTGAACCCCATCTGTGGATACTCCTTATCTAAATATCCCCTACTGTGGCTTTTCTCTCCCAAATGCTGCATTGCTGCCTACCCTTTCTTGTTCCTTTACTTCTCCAAAATAATCTTATGTTTATTTTACTACTTCCCCAATGTACTTCATCTAATTCTGTTGACCAACATAAATTGTATTTTAAACCAGAAGTGCAGTGTTGTCTGGCTCAAGACCTTGGGTGTGATCCAGGCTGCACTTGGAGTTTACATTAAATGAGTGATGATTCCATGATTCCATGTATGTATATAGCCTGTTTAATGATATTACAAGTGAAGGTGGTATTTAATGTTTTCTGCTGTTTCCCTTTGCTTTGAGGACTTTTGATTTTGAATACTACCGTTAGATTTCCCAAAAGCATTAAGAGAACTCACTGGTGAAACTGGGGAATCTTTCACCATTCTTTTGGGTGATTCCAACTTTTGTCAATGGCTGGTTGGTTGGTTTGGGGTTTTTTCTTTTAATTTTTCTTTTTTTTTCTTTCTTTTTTTCTTCTCCTTGTTGCATTTTTTTAAGCCTCCTGAATTGTGCTTGTGTTCATTGACTCCATTCAGGGTCATGTATTGGACCTTATATTGCTTCAGACTTGCTGTTAGGTTTGAGTTGGAATTATGAGTATTTTCCATGTTGCCTCAAACATGATGCAGAAAAGTACAATTCCTGAAGAACAGCAACATAATTTCTTTTTGGTCTTAACGAATTACCGTTTGAAATGTAGTGATCTTCTGTTGGTTGTGACTGTACCAGGAGAAAACAAATCTAGTCTTTAGATAGCGCTTACTTTTTTGAAGTGTACTGCTTTTTAGGTGAGCCTTCTCTTTTGGGTCCCAGGTGTCTTATGGTATGTAGCACTTTTTCCACTGTAGAAGAAAGACATCATCCAGCCCCTTTAATAAGATGAATATTTATTTCATCACTAGACAGAATTCTTATTTGTGTTCCTGTGACATAAAGGAGTTGTGTAAGAGGATCTGTAGGGTATTATTAAGGCATTTGGAAAAGCACTTTGCTATTTGAAAGAGGTCATGGATAACAAACCAGGAATTTCCATGACTAGTTCTGAGTGCAAGCAAAGCAAAACAGTAGAGGTATGCTGTGCTGCTTGGGATATTCCTGATACCTCAGGTGTTTTGATTTCCACTCTTCCTTTTCTTTGTAGTGTGCCAGCTGTCTTCTTTCATGTGTATTTGTATTCTCCTGGCAGAGGTATTTTTTTATTTAAAGTGTAAAGCTTTACTTTTGGTAATAACAAAATGGTGCCATTCTGTAGGTAGTGCTTGTTGGTGTTTCTCTTACTGAAGCTCCAGCTTACTTTTCTTATGTTTATATGACAGAAGAATAGAGACTTGATTTTTGACACTAAATATTTTTTCTACAGCTCAGGAATCTCCTGCTTTTATTTTAAATATAAATTACAGCAATGTAGTAAAACAGAACAAGAACGGAGTTGCACTACCAAACTGTTGATTTTAGTCTGCAGTGGCTTCCCGTAGGAAATTCTCATAAGCAGTTACATATGTTATAGCTAAATAAAGTAATTTTAAGGAGGCTGCTCCTCAGTTGTTTGGTAATGAAAGTACTGAGCATATACAAAATAAGCTATTGGCCTGTTAGAGAATTGCAGTGTTCAGGAAAAGCAAGAGCTGTTGTCTGTGTTTTGGGGGGTAAAGTTGCTTATCTACACTACAGAATAAAGTCTTAATTTCTTTTTATATCAGATTATCTACATACGCCACACCTGGCCTATTTGGAACATTTCATTTGGAGACTCTCAATTCTGACAGTATGCCTTCAAAATGCTATTAGCTAACATTAGTCCTTTGCTAGGGCTACCACACTCAGTATTTTAAAGTATATTAGGATTTGTTGTGAAGACACTTCTACCATTTGTTTAGCAGTTCTTGGAGCAAAACTACTCACACCTAAATCTTCCAAGACTCTGAAGGCCCAGCACCTCCAATATCAAGAAATCTATATGGTATACTGTTGGGGTGTTTTTGGTGTTTTTTTTTTTTTTTTTTCATACCTCCCTGTTATTTTGATAAGATTATTGAAACTATTCAAGGTAAAATTACAATCAAGTATAGCATAAAAGTACTGCAGCACTGGGACTTCCTTTAAAGAGGAAAACCTTGAAAAAATTCTTTTGAATGCTTTGTACATTTGCTTTAGCTATGTGTGTTGGATGTTCGGGGTATTAATGGTCGTGTAGAGCAGTCAAAGCAGAAAATGGATAAATACTTTCCTAAGTCCTTTAAAATATTAATCTTTATAATCAAGATGGGCTAAATCTTAATTTAGGCAAGATATCATGGGATTTGTTTGTCATCAAAATAAAAAAAAGATAAAACCTAATGCTATATAAATAAAGTGTTCTGTGGTTTTGTGAGTTATGAAGCTTAGTGAAATCTATAATTTTGGTTTGAGTCCCGTGGCCTTCATAGGTTTCTGGCTTTCCTTTCCATTCCTGGTCTCTTGCTGCTATTGTGTTAAGCTCACCTTCTTACCATGTTCTGTCACCTTGCATCACCTTCAGTTCCTCCAGTTCCTGTCTACAGACTCCATCCTTCCCAAATATTGTCTAGATGAGATGTATCCAGTATGTGGGTGGGTTTCCACTAATAAGGTCCTGTAAGATACCACTGATCCTCATGCATATCTCCATAACAAATGTAGTATTTTCAAAGTTTCCTTTTAAATGTGGCACATTTGACTAAAATGTAGTAATTATTGAGCAAACAAAAAAACTGTGCGTCATTCAGCCTTGTTTCTGGTAAGTTCTGTTTGTTATCCATATGTAGCAAAAGTTGCACGCAAGAAAGACTAAATATTGAGGACAAAGACTGTTTTCTTCACAAAATGGCTTATTACTGTTCACTTGGTAATAATGTTGGTATATTTTCACAGAATAGGAATATGAGGTGCAGAGTCATGGTCTAGTTATCACTCGAAGAGGTGATTTAACGTATAGCAATAGTCGTAATAGGAGAGGAGGAGGAAGGGGGAAGACCAAAATAAAATATATGCTAATATATGGTTTAAAAAATTGAGCATCTATTTAAAGCTGAAGTTATATCAAGTTAATATTGAAATACCTAGCTGTGCTGGGTTCAGTCAGGAAGGAGTTAACTCTCTTTACCGTGGCTGCTAGGAAGCTGTGTTCCTGGATGCAGAGAGCAGCACTGATAAGGTCTCAGCTGGCACTGGGGAATGCCTGCACTGAATTCAAGGTCTTTCTCTGCGTCTGATACTGCAGCTGCGTTCCCAGCTCTCACAGGCAGCGTAGGGGACACACAGTTCAGGCAGCTGACCCAAACTGACCAAGGAAGTGTTTCATTCCATAGTACGTCATGCTTGAGGCAGAGGCGAGAAGGGGGTCCGGGAGACATTACTCTCTCTCCATGACTCTATC